TCTATTAGCTGTTCTGCGACTAATTGTGTTGCTGTACATAATGAGATGGACCCCTAATGATATTTATGTGAAGGCAATGAAACAATTTACTCTCTCCATTAACAGGGAGTTGTTTATGGCTTTGTCTATGGAGAGGAAGAAGGCATGGTTGGAAAGCTTATAGAGATATACTACTTGCAGTTTTATATTTAGTGATGAACTATGTTTAGTGGTAATTTTGTGTTAATGTGGACTATTTTAGGGCTAGTTTTATTGTTAGTTTATATGAACTATCTTTATTTGATAATTTGACATTAATTTATGCGTTTTGTTTTATTATAGGAAAAATGGCAAATAAAGACCCCAATATGTGAAATTACGATTTGGGACTCAAAATTTGGAAAATGACAAATAAAGACCGGGTCTTATATTGCAAATATGAAATCTTAGGAAAATGTCTGACATGTCCCTCGGCCAAGTAACAAGTTGACTATAAAAAATAACAAGTTCACTTTAGCGAATGACAAGTTCAATAGACCAACTCACAATTGGCTAAAGGTATGCTAAATGACAAGTTGACTATGGGAAATGACAAGTTCACTTTAGCGAATGATAATTTCAGTAGACCAAATCACAACTTAGTTGAGGGGCATTTCAGACATTTCACCAAGATTTCATATTTGCAATATGGGACTGAGTCTTTATTTGTCATTTTCCAAATTGAGAGTCCCAAATTGCAATTTCACATATTAAGGGGCCTTTATTTGCTATTTTCCCTTTATTATATTACAATCATAGTTCGTATAATTTTCAACCATACGCCTGATTCATTTTTTGTATTTTACAATTGATTGATTTTATATATATAATGATTATAGATTGATTTTATATACAGTGAATGTATATGCTTTTTCTTAATTATAATATTTTTTTTTTAGTTAATAGAAAATTTTGTGTTATTTATTTGTCATTCTATTTGATTTTTATTAAATTAGTTTTTTACCACCTTTATTAAATTAGTTTATATTATAATAAGTTATTAAGTGATTAATTTTATACTTTTAAGTAGATTTTAAAAATAATTTTTAAAATTAATCACCCAAACAAGTTTTTATATTTTATTGTTTTTAAAAATTATTTTTAAAAACAGTCAACCAAACATGTTTTTTTTTTGTTCTTAAAATTTGTTTTCAAAAACAGTTTTTTAAAACTGTTTTGAAAGCAAAAAACAAAAATAAATCCAAACAGGCTTTTAATTTTATAAAAAAACCAATCACAAAATTATTATTTCGCTTACTATTTTTATTATTTGGTTTACCGTCCTTATCATTTGAAAGTGAAATATAAAAATAATGACAATTTTTTGTAAAACTTAATTTCGTTAGAAGCCCAACCATAGGCTTGTTATTTCACTTACCAAACTTGTTATTTAGTTTACTACTTTTATTATTTGGCGGTGAAATATGAAAATAATGACAACTTTTTATGAAAATTTCAACACTTGTCATTTCTTATACTATATTTATTATTTTATTCATTTCAAACTTTTGTGCAAATTGAAGCCAACTAAAAAAAGAAGCCCTTGAAACTATAATTACAAGAAAATAAATTAAATATCATAATCTTCTCTTTTGTACAGTTTTTGAGACAGACAGCAGTACACCCACTATTATAACCTTTTCGGAGGTGTAAAAGTACCTATACTCTTTCAAAATGAGAGCAAAAATACCCTCACCGTTAATCTCTGTTATGTTAACCGTTAGTTTGACTAAAACTTTGATATGAGAGCTGATATGGAAAAGTTAAAAGTTAAAAAAAAAAATCCACATCTGCATAATCCCCTTCACTCTTTTATTCTAAATGTTTATCACAACCCAGAAAGTAAACTAGAGGAAAAGAATCACGCAAGACAATAACCCAACATCTAAGGGGGTGTTTGGGAGACCCAAAACCATGGTTTCAGAAGCACTTTTCAGCAAAACGAGGTAATCTCCTCCACATATTTACTTCGTAATCCGTAAAAGCACTTCTGAAACCATGGTTTGGTTTCTATCCAAACACCCCCTAAATCTCATTAAAAACAACAGTCAAATATTAAACATTAAAATCATTCTTCGTCAAAAGCCGAAGCAATGAAAGATTATTTAAAGCGCAAAGCAAGAAATGAACTTGAGCACTTGAATGAGAGGTAGAGAGCTCATGCATTACAGGAGAAATCAAAACCCATAATCTTCGAAGAACACATCATCTACAAGATCAGCAAACTCAAAAATCAAAATAAAAGAAAAAACCTAGAACCATCAATGGAAGAAAATAGGAATCAAGCTATATTTACACAAGCTCATGCGAGGGAGAGGTTACTTCCTCTCGGCCCACCTTGAAATCGATCCTACACCCGTATCCCACTATTGAATGCCCACCTGAGTTGAACCTCATTTTGGGTTCAACACCAATCACTGTCATAGATGGCGGCCGAATTCCTTCATCGTCGATGTTAAACCCAAATCATCACCAATCACTGTCAGAGATCTGGGTTTAATGCTGAACTTCACCTTCGACTCCCTCCCACCCGTCCTCTCTATCCTCTCCGCCTTTTCCTTATTTATCTTCTGGGGCAAGCACACCCTCGATTTTAGCCACGGAAGCCACCATTCATGGTGATCTAGCCATGGAAGCAACTCCTCATCTTCTGCAATGACCAATGACACCTTCGATTCAAGAGAACACAAAAGCAAGCATCAAAGGGGGTTCACTAATTCTCATAGCTGGATCGTCAAAGCCACTCCTCCTCTTCGATCTGGTTTGCGGTTGTAGAAAAAGCAAAAGGAGAGGTTGCGGTTGAAGGGTGCATTTTTTTGCTAATAGATTTAGGAAGGTTTTAGGCATGTGGATTATTTTTTAATATTTTTTATCTTTCCCTTCCCCTTCCAGTAAGGACGTTATTATAACCAGGTCAACATCTATGTCAGCATTTTAGTCAAACTATCAGTTAACATAACAGGGATTAATGGTGATAGTATTTTTGATCTCATTTTAGAAGATCATGGACACTTTTGCACCTCCGAAAAGATTATGGTGGTGAGTGCACTTTTAGTATAAATTTATAGGTATTCTTGCACTTTGACCCTATACTTTTCATGCCTTCAATACTATCAGCCACACTATCAATTTGATTCACCGGATCAAGGAATGGAAATAAAGGGCTTGTTTGTTTTTGTTCTTTGTTTTTTTATTCTCAAAATAATTTTATAAAATTGTTTTTAAGAACAACTTTTGGAAACAAGAAACAAAAAAAAAATTGCTTGGAAAATAATTTTTAAAAAATCACATTTGAAAAAAAAATAAAAATTACACTTTGACAAGTGATAGTTATCACTAGTAGTAATAAGTAGTAGGTCGTAAAAGAGAAGAAAAGAAGATTTCTCTAATTTTTCAAAACAAAAAAATAAAAAACACAAAAACAAAAACAAGAAAATGTGTAAAAATTGTTTTGGTTTTTCAGTTTTTAAGAATATTTTTTTGTTTTTTAAAACAATCAACTAAAAACAAATTGCCAAATAAGTTTATTTGTTTTTAAAAACAACAAATTGTTTTTAAAACAAGAAATCAAACAAGCCCAAAGTCTTCAAAATTGATATAGAATATCAAAACAAGTGCAAAATTAGTAAGGAAATGCTACAATTAACTGTAACATTAATTATAAGGTGATCCCAAATCCTCCAGCAAATGGTCAACAACGAAAGGCAGAAAGCTAATTTAACCTTAACAAAAAGCTAATATGCAATGTATATATATTCCACCAATTTACCATTAATTATCATGAACTACTTATTTCCAATTATATACATATTATTTCCTATTATAAATTTATCAAATCCTCAAACTCAACTTGTGATTCTCAACTACTTCAAAAATTTGTGATTTCCAATTATATACTAGTTATGTTTTATCATAAACTTGTCAGATCCTCAAACTCAACTTATTATTCCTAATTACTTCACAAACTTGTTATTCCCAATTTTGTTATTTTCTATTATAACTCAACTTATTATTTTCAACTACTTCGCAAACTTTTAATTTCTAATTATATTATTTCCTATTATAGACTTGTCAATTTCTATACCTAACTTGTTATTCTCAACTTTTAATTTCCTTTTAGCCATAGAATTGCAGAGCACCAATTCTTTCCCGTATTATAATCCAGTGATACCAAAACTACACAAAATTCTATAATAAATAAATCTCAACATCATGCAACTGAGATATCAAGCACAATCAGTTCTTCCTCCAGCTTTGTAACATACTTTTATTATCAAACCTCAATGATTAATTTCACTATTATTAACAATCATCAACTTATCATGAGTATGTGTCAAAATAATTACTTCTTGAGCAGGAACCACGTCTTTTGAGTATTTTGAATAAAGAGTACGTAAAATTATAGCTCCAGAATTCAAATTTCAAGACTAAAGAATCCAAGTAAATTATATAAAAAAAAAGCAGAAAATAAAATAGCATTCTGCACCCACCTTATCTTTGAACCCCAAGTCATCCATATTACCAGATTTCATGAGAGTTCATTGAGGAATCCCAAGAAAACTTCCATTGTTTTGTACGAAGATCTAGAAGAGATACAGGAAATGTGTCCCATATAATTTTTTCAATCATATATTATCGCCACCTAATAACATAACAATCTACAAATGTTCCATTAAAATTTCAGTCGATGGCTAAAATTGCCTTATCATAGAAGATTTTGAAGTGGCAAAACAATCGGGACAAATTCAACACACTCGAAAATTCTGAGAAATATTTGACTTTCACCAAAAATCAAATTATACCGGGTAGAATGTCTCATTACTTAACATGGTTAAATGAGACATAATTGTTGAAAAAGTAAGTAGATCTTGTTTACCTGGAAGATTGTTTACATGCTAATTTATATGCTTTCAACCGTTAAAAACTAACCTAAAAGATACAACGGCAAAATAAAAACATTAATCACTATCATTAATACCATATGGAAGTAACGACTAATGAACATTCATACACAACCACACAAGATTCAGTTTAACTCAGTGATGCCCCTTTACTCATTTAGTGAGTCAACCAACTTACTAGAAGAATATGCTAGTCACAAAGATTGAGTTATAAAGCAAATAATGACTTCCCCGTCATCATCTCTAACCCTTGTCACAACTAGGCCTGAAAAGATATCAACTCACCATCGCTACATGTCATGGTACTCCCCCTAAATCCGCGTACAACCTAAATCTGAGCATTACAAATTATCTCCTTTTGTTTTTGGGCAACTGTTACATCACATGATATCACCAGTATCAAAGAATTAACAAAATGTAATGAAGATGTCGCTGATTTTGCATCTGGCCAGAAGCAAGCTACATTTAAATATGGTACATAAAAAAGAAAAAAGCAATTATGCAATATGCTGCCTAAATTCCCAAAATGATTGGCCAGTACATGACGAAGGCATCCCAAACTCCAATAGGCCCTTTATCCATTTAACTCTATTTACAAGCTCCTCCAAGTCCAGTATTGCACCTTCTATGCTATGTAAAAACATTGAATCTAGACAAATACTTTTATCCTTTCTTAACTTTTTTGGGGGTTGTTCATTAAACAACCCGTCATTAATTTCTTTCTTGGGCATATTTTCAGCTGACTCAGCCCTAATATGAGTACTTGGAGCATTATCTGAATAATTCGTTTCTCTAGTGCTAGGATCACCTGCTTCTATGTCCATGCCGGTTCTAGCAGCATTATTCACTGTGATGCGTCCCTCCGGAGCGTCTAAGAAAGGCACAGTAATTGGAGAAGAATGTGGAGAGCTACATTGTGAGGATGTACTTACGGAAGTTTGAACAGCTGCTTTTCCATCTGCAGCATAAGAAAACGTGCTCGTAAACAATATGAAACTGTGAGATAGTATTTCTAGGATGATCATACGAATATACCAACGAAAAGCAAGAAACAAGATATGGTTCCAAAGGAAATATCAGACATTCTTCAACGTAGTTTCCAGAAAGAAAAAGCAATAATATAATAATAATAATGACAAAAACACTGTTGGGCCTGCCAAGTCTCGGGTGGAATACATAAGAAGAGGGCTAAGAGAGGAGAAATAAGCCAAACAAGTTCAGGTCCACGTGATGGGAATATACATGAAGGTAGAGGACAGAATGGGGAAACAGGCTGCCTCTGGCAGTAGGGTAATGGACGTGCAAATAGAGGGAAAAAAGGCAACGGGAGGGGAGGAGAGTAGTACCTTGAGAAGAGAGGACCCGATCTCTTTGAAAACCAGGCTGTGAGCCATTGTTTATGTTTTCCTTGCTGTTTCATTAATGTTTCTGTCAAATATCTAGAACCTTAAGAGCTATGATTGTAATTCACTCCACTTATTCATCGCAATAAAGTGAATCGTACAACATCCATCCTACGGATTTCATTATTGTAATTCACTCCACTTTTTCACCGTAATTTTAGTTTTAAAGCAAGTGAAGTTGAGTTTTTGGAAGTAAACCAGCCATCTGCTATCCTATGGATACCACAAATGCCTTTTTAAATGGAGAGCCAAAATAAAAAAGGGTCTATACGACTCTCTCTAGGGTTTGAAAAGGCCACAAATAAGGATTATTAGATTATATGATGATTGTGAAAGCTGAGGAGAGTAAGAAATGCATCCTTATTGCGTATGTTGATGACATAATTCTCACAGACCATAATGAGAAGTAGAAAGATTAAAGATTACTCTTGGAAAAGAATTTGAAGTCAATTATCTCAAGAACCTGAAAAACTTTATCGGCATGGAAGTTGCTAGTTCAAAATGAGGAATCTATGCATCCTAGAGGAAGTATATACTTGATCATCTAAGGAAAACGAGCATGCTGGTTTGTAGACTTGAGGAAACTCCAATTGTGGTCCCAAAACAAAAGCAAAAACAAAAAAAGCAAAACAAAAAGGAACTTAAAACTCTATGATGCGGCTGAAGAATAAGAAAAAGAAGACAATGAGAAAGAAGCTACTCATAAAGAAAGATATAAAGGCTTGGTGGGAAGCTGATTTGTTTCTAACATACAAGATAGGTGCTCTAAAATAATAGAGAAAATACAGCAAGGGAAAAAGAGAATCTAATAAAGAAAAGGGAGAAAGGATCACACTCACTCTTCCTTACTAGCCAAATACCTAAGGACAATTGATTGGACAAAATTTGCTTAGTGTTTTGCCTTGCATTTTGAGTGCATTAACTACTTTCTTGAACATTATTTCACATCTTATAGCTGTTGATTGACTTAGAGCAATTGTATGATTTCAAAGCTAAGTTTGTTTTGCATGTTTTTGTGATTGCTCTTAGGTAATTTGGATTGCTTAAACCTTTTGATGCTGCACAACATTGTTTTTACTTTGTAGTTATCTTGGAATATGAAGAAAAGACGTGCAAGGACTCAAACAAGGAGTAATAAGACCTGAAGATTCAAGTTGGCCTTCTCTGCAATCTTCATCGTGGCAAACGTGCTTAAATGAAGAAGTCTTCTCTATGATCTTCGCAGCAGCAAAAGTACATGTTCACGTTGCAAACCTATCATATCAACAACTTATCAATCCGAATCTGGAGCAGCTTTAATGGATCACCCACTCAACAGCCCAACTCGTTTACGACCTAGGTAGACATTTTAATCAAACCCTAGCCTCTTATTTTGCTAATTCCTTCACTCTATCTCCATTTTTTATCTCCTATTCGGCTTCCATCTCTCATCTTTGTCCCTTACCTTCACGCTTCCACTTCTTCCACCTCATCTACCATAGTTGTGGACATGAGCTACTATGTGGAGCCTCTTCTATGGCTGAGTGGCTGAGTTCATCTCTTGAGGATGGGTGGTGGCTAAGCTATGGATTTTTCATTAGGGGAGTATTTAGTTCCATTTTATGTTTGTTCTTTGTTGTGTATTTGGATTTACCTAGATATATATGTGTCTATTTATGTAATGTTGAAATTGAGCTATGGACTCCATTTGTCTTGGGCTAAATTTTCTGTGTAATTGGATTGAGATTATTGTAGTTAAGTACTTTGATATATTAATGCATATTTTAGTTGGGTTAATTTGTGCTAAGTTAGTTAGCATGATAATGTGGATTATGGATTGATTCCATGAATTGTGCTTGTTTGAGATGTGTGTTGATGATTGTTTTCTTAATTAAGGTGGTTAAAAGATGAGTACATAGCACGATAGTGTTAGGTGCATTCCATTAATCAAGCCTTAATTAAAAGAAAAGTGCATACTCAACCCCTAATGAAAGGAATCAAAATTTGCCACCTAACCAAACCTCAAGAGATCCATTTTTTCGCATTTCATTCACTATCATCCATCCATTCGATTTTTATACCACAAAGACCAAAACACACCTTCATTTTACCCTTGTCAATTTGCATTTCCATTGCTTAGTTAACTTAGCGATGGAATACAAAAATGACACATATTTTGAAGAAACCTATATGAAGAAATTACTTTGCTTTTTGTGTTTAATTATTTTGTAAGTTTCTTTCTAGTTCAGGAGGAAAATAAATTTGATTTTGCTTCTATTGATGCTACTTGGGCCTTGGGTCTTCCTCATTTAGCAGTATTTAATCAAATTTAATTTCCTATCAATCTCCTAGAATCATAGTAGATCTAATTTTGTTTTTGAATTTTGAATTTGCTGATTTTCTTGATTCTCCTATGATTATGTAATTATGGACTGATCCTAAAATCTTCTAATAACCTAGGACTATTCCTATAAGTATTGTACACTGTCATTCGAATAATGCAATTGATTTAGGAGAACCACGAATAGGGTCAGGGGTAATTTGGGAATACGAGTAGTAATCCTATAAATGGGAGCTTTGATGGGTGAAATTGGTGTTAAGTGAATTTACCCTCTATTCTCTCTCTGTTAACAAAGGTATCAGAGCCTCTATCCAGTCAATAGCACTATCACCAAACGTTCGATCTAAAGATGCACCGCCTTGATCATGATCATACCCTTCTTGATTTGGTGACTGATCGCCTAGATCAGAAATCTTAAGGATCTTTTAGAGCTCAAGCTTACGGCATCTCAGCTTGAAGATTATTTACGAGAGATGATTTCTAAGCTTTCTGATATGAATCCTTTAGTACCTACTTCTTGAGAAGGGGAATTTACATCTATGCTACTCATCAAACCGAAAGAGAAAAATAACGATGAAGTTGGAGACGAGCTGGCTTTGCAATAAATTGATTCAAATGAAAACATACTAGATGAAGACGTAGATGTCGCTCTTGATGAGCAAGACCAATAGGACACTGACGCAAAATTGATGGATTTTGACAAAGATGAAGACAAGGAATGGGACAAAATTAGAGGGAAATCTAAGACCTAGGGACTAGATGACTCACCAAGTAAGGGATATGATCTTACCGAAAATGTTGCTAGGGTCATCAACACTGAGTTTGCATCAAAACAATCAGGATCTCTAAGCCATAAAGGTGACCACCACTACTGCTACATCTTCGACCAAATCATGCTCTGCACAAGAATGCACATCCATCATTCTCTGCTCACAATGCATCACACACGTCTTCTCCATTTACTATTGAGATTGTTGATTTTAGGGCATCTCAGTCTTCCTTTATTTTGGGCCCTAAGTCTAACTTACTTCCACAATCACTTGGGGACAAACCCAAGTTGCAAGCCAATGGCCCTTCTATGTTCATTGCGAACGCGTCTCTGTTTGTACGGTCAACTATTGTCCACAAGCTAACTCAACTTAGCTTCACTAATCTTGTTCTATGCTTCCGGAGCAAGCTTGAGCCCACTTGCCAGTACGAACTTGAAGTTTTCTTGGCCATAAAGCAGCCTCAATTGCCTGTTGTTATTGAAGCTAAAGTTGGCAGCATTCATGTCAACAGCTCTTTCCTGCTAATTTCATCACCATCAATCTTCAAATCCAAACAAATGTGATTAATTCTTCTTCTCCCAAGGGTGTGCAAAAGCTATTGTTTCTCGGGTCGTCTTGCATTTATGCCAAATTCCACACACCGCGCATCCACCAACGAAGCATTAATTTCAATGAAGAAGAAGACACAGGAAATGCACAAGGGCCTAGACCCAATGTATGCTTCCACATTGGTTTGTGCCCCTCTAGTTTCTTCAAAGGGTGTTCTTCCTTCTCTCCTTGGTCATCATTTTCACTGATGCAAGGATGGAGATGCTGCAAAGGACAGAGATGCGTGGTTCCTTTATCACCACAAGGATATTTTATCCTACCCATGCAAATTCCACTACCGCATTTATTGGAGCTGCTTGTACTGTTTAAAAAATGGGAAAATTCTGACAATGATGTTGGCCAAGGGTGACCCCCAAACAAATCGAGTTGGGGAAACTCTGTTTTTAGGTTAGGTGAAGCTCTTGGAAAAGACGAGTCAGGTGAAGCTTTACAAGTGTTCATGGGTTTTAGAATTTTGCTGCTATGAGTAGTGACTGTCATAGCCGCAATAGAGGAACAACACTATTGGAACTGTGGCATCATGCGAGGAGGGAGAGAATTCATAGAAAAGGTTCTAAAGACATGGAAGAGTGTGGTTCGAATTCCATGCGGTGTGAACTTTGAAGTTTCCGTTTATGTCCTATACATTGACGGAAATGTTTCTATATTTGGTCAGTGTGTGTCTCACGTGGCAACAAGGAGGATCCTATTAAGAAAGGGCTTGACAATAGTGGGGTTTGGGCCTCTGTAGCATATATAGGTCTCTTAAGCATATATGGGTCCAAAAGTTCTTGGATGGATGTGAGGCATAAAGTTTATGAAGTTTCAATGTTGGAAGTTACTTGGGCTTACATGCAGTGTGACAATGGACTTTTGGACCAAGGGCACACTACAGTGGGCTTAGGTTTTGATGCCCATTCATTTGCATTTCGATTTTTTTTTTTTCTTTTACAAGTCTGCAAAGCTAGAGGGAAAAAAGAAAGCTTTATTTTGAGTATTTCTTTTTTTCACTGCTTTTGTACTAATCCTTGACAACAAGGATCTTTTTCTAGGGGGAGTATATTGATACATGGGAATTAGGAATAAGGTGAAGGGTAATTTGGGAATATGGGTAGTAATACTATAAATGGGGGCTTTGATGAGTGTAATTGGCAATGTTTTAAAAGCCGGACCGGAAGTCGAACCGGAAAGATCAACGGGTCATGGTTCAATCGGTCGGATCGGTCAGACCGTTCGGTCGGACCGGTGACGCAATAATTAATTTAAAACTATATTATATATATATAATTAGTATATATGAAAAATATCAAATTATTAAATAATTTAGAAATGCATTTAAATAATCTAAAATTATAATGAAATCATTGAAAATGGACTAAAACCTTATATATTTAAATTTATGTATGTTTAAAATATTTAATGATATTACAAATTATCAATTCATTCAAATCAAAATATTTTTTTAAAAGATAGACCAAATATCGAAACAAAAAGACTAGCGACTCACGATTTTAACATCACAATATATGAAATTTTCAATGAAATAATACTTTATGGTTATAAATAGTCTAAAAATATATCAGGATATTTAAGGGGATCAATTTTTTTTATTTTTCTTCTATTTTTTTAAATTTTTTAGTATTTTTTCAGTCAGGCTAAAAAACCATCCGGTTTTCTGAAAACCATTCCGGTTCCCGATCCAACTCCGATTTCCGGCTTAATAACGGCTCAACTCCGGTCCAATCCGGCTCAACTATGTGAACGGTTTTTTAGTCCAAACCGAGCCGCTAACGAGTCCGGGTGACGGTTCAACCGGTCCGACCGCCCGGTCTGGTCCGGTTCTTTAATCATTGGTAATTGGTATTAAGTGAATTTCATATTTTACTGTTTAGCCTATTTCCTCTATTCTCTCTCTATTACCCATAATAGCAATCTTTTCTGGTATCAAATTATTCAGCTTCTATATTTTATTAGGAAGTTATCTTCAAGCTGTCTCCTAGTAGAGGAAAACCAAATTTGATTTTGTTAGTAAATTGTCACCAAATCTCCTTCCAGTGGAGGAAACCAAATTCGACTTTAATTTTAATAGCAAGTTGTCATCAAGATTACTAAATAAAGAAGGAAATGCTAATCTATAATAGGGGTAGGAAGCTTATGTATGGAAGGACTTTTGGATGAATGAAAATTTAAGCGTATGAAATCTCTCTCTTCCCCTCTTTAGATTCTCTCACTCCCTCTCTAAGTTTTGTGCATTTTCCCATTCCTCTTTCTCTATTTCTCCTTCTACCCTAAATCACTCTGTTTGCATTAAATGTTACATCACTTAGAATTCAAATAAAAGTTCTTAAGCGAAACAACCCAAGATTATACTATTATAGTGCAAACCTTAGTAAATTTGTCATCTTAACTCCCAAAACATGCTACAACAAGGTTGAATCAATGATCTCTCAAAGTCCATAACATCAAAGTGAAATATTATACCTTGAATGACTATCTTTAGGAAGGCTAGCCCACGTATGACAAAGACCTTACAACAATAATAACAACAGAACCTTGCCCCATTAGGTGAAATAATAAAAGCTAAAGATAATAATCTAAGGATAACCCTAATATCTCTAACCAAATATTAAAATATTTGATTCAAGATAAACTAGATCCTATCAACAGCCTATATAATATTTTTCAATAGAAAATATCAAAATAATGTCTATTCATATCTTCCATTATGCCTCAGTAATTGGTATTCTATCACACAAAATAGCTTTTGCATTAAATGTAGCCAGCCAATACATGTGAGACAAAGAAGCAGATGGGATTAGCCTATAGAATTTTGGTATTTAAAAGGTTCTTCATGTGGAGGACTTTTCTTCTAAAAACATGAACAAAGGATTGTAGAGGTGAACATCAATGTAGACTGGGGACTAACCTATCCTGATCGAAGACTAGCCTCAAGTTCCTACTCCTTTGTACGAAGGAACCTAGTTACTAGGAAAAGTTAAAACCAAAAAGTTGTCTCAGAGCAATGCTAAATCCAAGTTAAGGGCATTGGAAGAGGTGTAGCTGAAATGAGTCCTTGGATTTACCATGAGCACTCTATTGTGATAATGACACTATTAGCATGGCTTGAAATCCCATTCAAATGAATGATCTAAACATAAGGAGGTGGATCAACATTTCATAAGAGAAAAGGTTGTAGAAGGAATCATATGTTTAATTTATCTACCTATCAAATTTCAAGTCATAGATGTATTAACAAAAGGACCTCTGAGACGTGCTTTTGAAAGCTGTATTAAGTTCAACATGATTACCATGTATGATCCAACTTGAGAGGGAACTGGGAATATTGTATAATTATTATGAATATTTGAATATTGCCTTATTAGTATTTGTTAGGATTTATTAGACTTTATTAACATTTACTCTATGCATCTCCCTTGTGTAAATAATAGGGTGTAGTGTATGCTTCAGATGTACGAGAAACAATATTGCCCTCAAAAGTCACACAATACTAGTAGTCTTCCCTAACTCAACCTTTTATCTAACTTTAACAACCATATAACAATACACCTGACCCCTAAGTAACTAACTATTTATACTAATAGTTTTTCCCAACCAACTAACCATCAGCCACCATGAGCCTGACTCCAATTTGCTGTTAAACCTTGAGCCTCTCAATCACATATGCATCGAGCTACTCAAAAAAATCATTCGTTGGTTCTTAGTATGCCACAACCATATCCAAGTAGCATTTTGGTAAATTTTTACTTTTTGTGTAGTGTTACAAGAACCCAATAGAAAGTCTAGTAGTCTACCATTGGGTATTACATATAGCCATGCTTGGAGAATAAAAAGCAATCTCTCTTGAGTGATCAGATTAGTGTTAAATCTTAGTACAAGGATTTGCCTATGGGCATTTGTGGAAAATCTTGAAACTATCTCGCTGGAATCAGGATGAGAAAAGTATTTTTATTATTCATTAATAGGATTATAGGCTTTAATGTTTTTCCACTTATATCGCTGAAATAGTTGTTTAAAGCCCTGTAAAATAATCAAATTCAATACAATATACATGAATTCATTCAATCAGTCTTCCTACTCACAACGTCTATTAGGGATTATGGTTGGAAAGGCTCCTATGAAGGTTCATGGGGGGGGGGGGGGGATGTTCAATGAAGGTTCCACAACATGTCTACATTGTCCATAATTTCATTCATTATGACATCGCAAAACATGTACACCTTGACAAAAAACTTCATAAAGTGAAAAATGGATCTAGAAATCATCAATCTTGATAATATTATTCCTCAAAGTCAAGTAACTAACATGTTGACCAAAGCTTTGCTTAAAGTCACATTTGAATTTTTGCAAAGCATGCTAGGAATGGTAAGTATCCATCTACTAGCATGGGGCCGGTGCTAATGATGGGTGCCTAAACAGGATGAGAAATCTACCCCAAAAGCTAGTTGTTGAGACACAAAACACACCCACTTAAATACTTCATTATGCATTCCATACTATTCAATGTGGGAATTAGCATCCCATGATACCAAGTTTCCATTAATTGAACTCTTATGGAAAGCCGAAGTCTTAGTAGCTACACTCCATAACACTTTACTTGGCCACCTGCCAGTCAAAACCCCCCATAGGCAATCCTCTCTAAAACTACCAACAACTTGACTTTGCTATCAATTGATGGACACTAAAGTGGGATTGAAAACCCCAACTCATAAGCTAGCTGTTGATGTGAAAAACTTAACCCACTTAAATATCCCATTAAACATCTCATTCAACTCAATCTCATTTAGGTATCCCATAATACCAAGTCTCCATTAGTTTCTTAAGTTCTCACGTATGTAACATGTATAGCATCATTTTAACCTTTTCAATTTTTAATCTCCTTTACCTAGTCAATAGTATATCTTCTTTTGTGCTTTAAAAGTGTAGATGTTGCCCAGAAAACTTGAATTTTATTCAATAGTTAGAAGAAACATTTAAAGGCACTCATCCTAGGTTATAGCCTCTCACTAGGAACAGCTAGATGACACAGTTAGAGGGAAATAATTCAAAACATAATCAAATCAGAATGAAAATCGCACCATCTAAGGAAATAATAATAGCTGATAATATCAAATAATATTTAAAACTAAGGAAACTTAATCACGGGCCCAAGCCACAATGTCTTGAACAAAAAGTTTTGTTCCAAGATTTTAGGATCTAAGATATCACATAGGCTCCTATATAATATCAAACGCCTAATTCTTTAAGACTCACTTTATTAGTCAGCAAGTCATAGGTTTCCCCTCAAACAGTAAACAATTGACATTTTAACGGGGAAAAAAAATTTGAAATCAGTTGCACACAAATGACTACAAGGTTGACAAATATCTCCTACAAAATCAAGAGTGAAAAATAGCACATTGTGAAACTAATTTACCTGAATGTTCAGGCTTAATTAACTGAGCACAAAGCCGTTGTTTTCCACCATTTAGCACCTGATCACAAACTCCATCAGCAAACATAAATAACCTTTGATAGTCAAATTTCTTGCTAAACAAACTTGATACATCAGCACAATAATACTTATAATAATGTAACAGAACTAATGGAAGACAACTGGAAAATATTAACTTTGCTGTCTTGTAGAATAATATTTAAGGCCACTGTAACACCAACTTGCATTTTCACTATAGTATTCATGACAAGTGTGATACCAATGAAGCAAATAAATTGAAATGCATCATTAAAGAATGGACATCAAAACACCGTTTGCCCTTTGTGACAGTTAGGTCAACCCTAACACACTTCCATTGACTAATATAAAAGCGGTTCTTAGTTGAAGAGAATTGAAAAAACAAGGTTAAGCTATTTTGCAGAAAAACAGAGTAGAAGCAGCCTAACTGTGATGCCTATTTTCCACGATAAAGCACGATGACATGTGAAGGAGGTTGACCAGCAAAAATCAACCAAACTTGTCCCAATAAAGAAAAGGTAAAAATAAATTAAAACTCAACCAATCCTTTCAGCCAAAAATAAAATGCACAACACAAAGATTTGACAAATATTCAATCTTTGGCAAGTTATGCACTTGTTGCTTGGTGTTCTGTGAGAACACTCATGGCTTATCAAAGGTTGACCCTTTTGTGACATCACCCCTATCATTTGCGAGTGCTTCTTGTGAGTTTCCTGGTGTGATGTCCAAATGATTTTCTAGCAAGGTACTGACAAACAAATTGGATACTGAACTAGTTAAAGCAATGGTTTAAGAGTCAGTAGATTAGACTATAGTCAAACTGAGGTCAAACCGTTGAGAGATAAAAAATTAAAAAATAATTTAAATTTTCATCATACCATCCAAGAACTAAATATCAATTTAGCATCTTGAGTCATTAATAAAATAATAATACACTTACAATTTCTTTCCAACCTTCTTTACAATTCTTCTGACAAACTGAAATCAAAATATCATACTTCCAAAATCGCTAAATACTCACCCTAACAAAATATCAAAATAGATATATGATAACAAAAAATTCCTCCCTGCAATCATTCAATGACTAAGTAATAATTATCAACTTAAAAAAAAACAGAGAGAGAATTTTTTTCCATCAAAATAGCTTTTAGAAAAAAAGAGGCAATCAATTAACCCACCAAACCAGTCAAGATAACTGGGTTACTCCTAGGCTGGTCCGAGTTACTCTGGGGTCACCCTTGGTTAGATTTTTCCGATTCACAATGGTTGACTGGACAAGCCAGGTCACTGGTTTCCAATCCAACCCAGCTGATCTGATTTTAATACAGTGGTTTCTAGGGTCCTAGAGTAGATCACCTATGGGGTTCACACCATTTTGCTTTATAGCATGGGTTCCTCTAAACAGGTTGTCTTGTGTCTTTTTCCTTCCTTCACTTTTCATCTTCTTCATTCTCAACTTCACCATTATCTTTTCTATCTAGAGTCAATTCATCTTCCAAATTTTATCGTTCATCAAATCTAATTCCATGATGGAAAAAAAATATTGATCTTGCTACTAATTTTTCTCCTTTTCTTTGAAATTTGCATATCTAAAAAGAGAGGCAAAAGGCACTTTGCTCAAAGGGGAAAGCAACAAAGGAAATAGCCAAGACAAATTGTCTGAAAAAAGATCAGTAATAGGGAAAAAAAAGGAGCAAAAGTACACATATGAAGAAAAAGTTATAGGAGGGGGAAAAAAAAAAGGAGATTACAATAGGATAAAAGGCTTGGATTTGGAATTGGTAAATCTTTGATCTAAAAATCCCATTATTTCCAAATCTGATTTGATTGAATCTTCATTCCTCAAATCTGGTTTGACTCTATCTTATTCATCAAATTTTATTTTATTTCTTTATACAAATCTCAAATTCTTTAATTTATTTATGTATTTTGCATATTTCTTTTGAAAAAAAAAATTTCTCTATATTTTCCAAATCTGATTTTCCTCCATTCTAACATTTGTTTCATGCCACCTTGTCTCATATTTTGAGTCCCTAAGTTTGATGTTGTCCCTAAAGTCACTAGCTCTTGCCTCTGAATTTGCAGCTTATATTCGATCAAGAAAACTTGTAGTTAAGAAGTTCCAGCCGAAAAGGAAAGAGAGCAAATTAGGCAAAAAGCCAAATTTCAGTGAAAGAGGAATGAATTTCTATTGTGACTAGATTATGTATAATCAAATCTCAAGTAGTTGATCTTCTCGCCAAGCCACTTTCTAGGAAGAAATTTGATGCATTAAGTAGCAAGCTGCGAATGCTTGATACAGATTCACCTGTTGGATGGGGAGCATTGGAGGAGGTGTTGGGCAGCATTCTAAGGCCGAATACACAGTTCCATCTAAGATGCTTACATTATCCATTCTAATATCGTAACCCAATTATATAGGACAACGAGTCAGATTTGATTTATTAGATTTATTTCCATTGTCTCTTATGTATAGAGGCAATTAAAGAAGTTAGTTCATGGAAGCAAGATCAGGTTTGGAACTTGGAACATTAGGACCCTATATGGTAAATCAAGGGAGGTGGTGGAAGTAATGGACAAGCGGAAGATTAATATTTTGTGCTTCAAGAAACTAAATACGTTGCAGAGAAGGCTTTCAAATGTACTAATGGTTTCAAACTTTGGTACACGGGAAAGGTAGGCACAAGGAATGGAGCTAGTATTATCGTCGATAATGAATAGAAAAAGAATGTGGTGGAAGTCAAAAAGATAGAAAATAGAATCATTTCTTTAAGAATAATCATGAGGGGAGACACTATCAATGTGGTTAGTGCATATACACCTCAAGGGCAATAGACCATCTTAAGGAGAAATTTTGGACAGATATGGAGGGTTTGATTCAAAGCATACCACTCGTGGAAAAGATTTTTATTGGTGGTGATCTTAATGGACATGTTGGTAAAAAAACAGGGCAATATATAGGGGCTCATAGTGGTATGGGTTTTGGAGTACGTAATAATAAAGGGCAAACTATTATTGATTTCTCCCTCATGTACAACCTCAAATTGTTAACACGTGCTTTGAGAAAAAAGAGGAGCATTTAATCACTTATAAGAATGGAACCTCTAGGTCGCAGACTGATTTCTTTCTAGTAAGGAACCCTAATAGAAAACTCTGCACAAATTGTAAACTAATTCCTAGAGATGGTATGACAGCACAACATAAGGTACTAGTCCTTAATGTATGTATTAAGCGTATAAAACAAAAGCGACAACAAATATCAACCCCAAGGGTCAAATAGTGGCAATTAAAGGGAGAGAAGGAAGAGACTTTTAAAAGGACTCTTTTAAAAGAAGGGGGTTGGGAGCTACAAGGAAATGCTAATCTTATGTGGATGAAAATGACTAAGAAGGTCCAAAAGGTGGCTAAAACAATTTTGAGTAAATTAAAAGGTCATGGTTGAAGAGATAAGGAGACATGGTGGTAAAACGAGAATGTGCAAGAGCAAATCAGGCATAAGCGAGATTGATTTAAAGCGATACATTTGTTTAATAATACTGAAAATTAGGAAATGTACTGTGTAGCTAAAAAAGAGATTAGGAGAGCAGTGGTTGAAGCTCGTTCTAAAGTTTTTGAGGAGTTCTATAAGGATTTAGGGACTAAGATTGGGAAATGCAAGATTTACAAGATTGCAGAGAATAAAGAAAGAAAAACAAAAGATTTGGACCAAGTAAGATGTATAAAGCACGAAGAAGATAGAGTTTTGGTTATTGATGGTGATATTAGGGATCGATGAGAAGCCTACTTTTATAAGTTATTCAATGATGGGGGCGAAGGATTGACTTATGAGCTTGAAGATTTGATAATTGGAGAAGAGAAACATAATTTAGCTTTTTATCGAAGAATTCGAATTGGTAAAGCTATGGAAGCTCTTAAGAAAATGGAAAACAATAAAGCAGTTGAACCTGATAGTATTCCTATTGAAATTTGGAAATGTTTGAGTGAAGGTGGTGTGCTATGGTTTATTAAGTTATTCAATGAGATATTGCACTCCAAAAAAATGCCTAATAATTGAAGAAAAAGTACTTCACTGTCTATTTATAAGAATAAAAAAGATATCCAAAACTATGCTAGCTACAAGGAGATTAAACTCATGAGCCATACCATGAAATTGCGATAGAACATAGGTTGAGATTGGATACATGTATATCTAAAAACCAATTCATGTTCATGCTAGGAAGATCAACAACAGAAGCGATTTATTTACTGGGGGGTTAATGAAAAAGTATCGAAGCCACAAAAGGGACTTGCATATGATTTTTATTGATTTGGAAAAACCTTATGACCGTGTGCCTAGAAAAGTGCTTTAGAGAGCTTTAAAAGAGAAAGGTGTGCGTGTCGCTTATATCAAAATCATACAAGACATGTATGAAGGGGTCACAACTAGGGTTAGAACGCCGAGCGGTGAGATAAAGGGCTTTCCTATAAGAATTGGCCTACATCAGAGATCATCTTTGAGTCGTTATCTATTTAACTTAGTTCTCGATATTCTAACTGAGCATATCAAAGAAGATATCTCTAAGTGCATGTTTTTTCCTGATGATATTCTTCTCTTGGCTGAGTCAAATGAAGAGATCACCGCTAAACTTGAGATATGGAGAAAAACCTTGAAATCGAAAGGTTTCTATTTGAGTAGAAGCAAGACAGAATATATGCATTGTGTTTTTTGTGAGAGACAAGTTAGAATAGATTTGAAGGTCAAATTGGAAGATCAATTCATTCCATAAGTGGAAAAGTTTATATATTTGGGATCAATTATGCAAAAAGATGATGAAATTGATGGAGATGTTAGTTATAGAATTCAAGCTAGGTGGTTTGGATGGAGAATAGCGACAGGAGTTATCTGTGATCGGAAGGTATCTAATAAAATCAAAGGAAAGTTTTACCGCATTGCTATAAGACCAGCAATGCTATATGGCAGTGAGTATTGAGCTTTAAAGGAACAACATGAACATAAAATGGCAGTTGCCGAAATGAGAATGCTGAGATAGATGTGTGGTCATACAAGAAAAGACAAGATCCGTAATGAACATTTATGAGGAAAAGTTGGAGTGGTTGCTATTGATCAGAAAATGGTAGAAAACCGATTGAGATGGTTTGGTCACGTGTAAAGAAGGCCTTGAGACACGCCAGTGAGAAGAGTTGATCAAATATTATAGAGTCCTCTAAAAAGGAGTAGAGAAAGACCGAAGACAACACTTAATGAAGCCATTGAACAAGATCTTTTCATTAACAATATATCCAAAGATTTGGCTTTGAATAGGACTCAATGGCATCGTGCAATCTATATAGCCGACCTCACCTAGTGGAATAAAACTTTGTTGTTGTTGTTTTGCATCTTGTATAGATATTACTAGATTTTATTACGGTTTCCAGAACATTATATATTGTTCTGGTTTGTACGGTCTTTACATATCAATAAGAATTGAGAAACTTCAGTAGATAACTACAAACCTTAGCTTTAGGGACTGTCCAACCTTTCTTAGGACTCCAATCCAAAGATGGGCGGATGTCTTTGTAGAAAGCTTCATAGCTTGATCCTTCACCCACTGGAGGGGGGAACAAATCGATCTTGAAAATAGGACAAGCAAAATATATAAAGAATTAGCAAAAACTTCCATGGAAACTATTTTCATAAGCATCATGTTCTAGGGGGGGAAAGTAGAAAGATGCAAAAAAAAAAAAAGTCATGCTAAATTCATTTGATTATATTGTTAGTTATAATATAATTTGGGTAGACAATTAGCAACAAAAAAAAAAAAAAACCATGTCTTGTACAAAGCATAAATCACTAATTGTTAAAAAGAGGAAAGAAATATTTTTGTTCCATTTAATATTTTTAATGCTGTCTCTAATAGAGTACCAAATGTGCAGTTAATTTGTGAACGTGATTTTATTTCATTAATATTTATTTTAGTGGATTTGGTAGTAGTTCTAGTGGTCAATTTAAGTGAAGCATAAGTTTAGGAGCTAGTGGAGTCTGTTAAGATTAGGATTATTTACTGAGTCAAATATTTTATTGTAAGTATTTTTTACTAAGTCTGTTATTTTCTTAAGTGTATTTTATTAGGATTATTTACTCATTCTTCATGCTCTTTCATATTCTTCATTGTATCATAGTGTCTATTGATTGTGCGTCATTCAAATAACTAGTCCATCACTTCTTTTTTGTGTTTTCTTGATTGTTACACCATTTTTTAATCCTAAAACCGTACCCAACAAGTGTTGATTGTTCCACCCACTATGTCTTGTGATTGAAACATCATACCAACAGTCAAGGATGTCAATCAAATATTCAATGACCAATACACACATCTACACACACCTATCCCAATAATCTTCCCCACACACTGCCACATGATAGAGTGTGAAGCTCTCTTTCAGACCATTATTCATCCAATTATGTGTGTCAACTGCCAATTTGTTGAGTCCAATCTGTCATTTTTCATGATTTGCCACTGTTTGTGTTGTTTCAGTTCGTCTCGATTCTACACCATTTCAGTGTTGTTTGGTCTTTGTTCATGTTCTTTTTGGCTCTATCCAATCCACTTAAGCCTTGTTCAGCCTTTGTTTGCTATCCATAAGCTTTCTCCTTCCCTAAGGTCTTTCTACATTATATGTCATCATTTCTGGCCTTGTTTCAGCATCTTCAAGTTTATAGATGCCATCTTTTGCTCCTAAACTATTTACTTTTCCCACCTCTTTTTCAAAAACTCCCTCTGTTGCTCCCAAAACATTGGATGGGTTGAATCAAGCTACATGGACTACTTTTATGGAGCTTTGGTTCCTTGGACAGAGTTGCAAAGATCAACTCAAAGGTGAAGGATGTTTGAAGAAACTAAAGGAGAAGTTTGGAAGAAAATCAATCATTAGTTAATAGCCTATAATAATAGTTAGTTGACCATGAGTTACCACAAATACTGCATAAATGTAACAGCCTCATCCCACTTGTTGCAATAGGTGAAATCATGCTCGTGACAAGTGCTACTCCTAACATGACTTCTCCAAGAAATTTGATGTTGCCTCAAGTAAGAATGCTAGTCAAGTTGCTTAACACATAGCTTCCAGTTATGTATTTCATCAACACACAAAACATATCAAGATTGATTATCACTTTGTCATGATAAAATTCAAGAGAACTTTGTTTCTACAGGACATATGAAGACTGTAGGTCAGTTAGTGATTTGTTTACAAAAGCTCATAATAGGGCTTGGGTTAAATATCTTTGTAACAAGTCAGACATGATTAACATTTATACCCTGTCTTAAGGGAGAGTGCAAAGATATCAAAAGATGGAACGTAGATAGTGTAATAGTGTAACTTATATCATTATGATAGGATAAGATGTTTTCCTGTCATTATGAGCCACTAATGCCTATCCTCCTCCCTCCTCTATTTATAGGCCATCCCTTGCTTTGAAATATAAAAGAGATTCATATCCTCCAATATTTTCCTCTCCAATGCATCTTAGAAACTTGTTCATCTACCTCCTAGTAAATCTACTGCTCAGTGTCAATTGGTATTTAAGTGTCAAAATCCAATCCCTAATTCCTAGCACCAGCCATTTGGATCAGATCCCTTAAATATGTGTATTTCCTTTTCTACATCACCTAGAATCACGGTCTCCAATCATGAGGATTCCCTATCATAAATTCTATTCAATACAATGAGATTTCCAAATATATTGTAAGGAAATCTGATCCTATTTATATACTATCTCTATAATGAAACTATGGAAAAACACTTCTGAATCATTCTTCCAATAATAAGGTTGGCATTAATACTACTATTAGGTACTATTAGATGCTTGAACTTGTTGCCAAGGACTATATAGGACCTTGTCTTGGATTATGGTGATACTTTCTCTCCTATGGCTAAAATTGCATCCATCTAAATGTTACAATCTATTTCTTCTAATACTAGTCAAATTGAAATACTTAAAGGTACCAAAATACATTATTATAGTGGCAATCTCTTGAGAAACATTCACTGGATGTCCTAAAGGAAAACATTCATTGCATAATCTTATAGGAAAAAAACAATACTTACATCAAGTTTCTTATATCCACTATCTCAAGTTCTCCAATCACACATGGCCATATGCCCTATTTTTGAAATATTAGCATTTAATTATAAATCTCCATGAAACAAAAAGGGACACATGGCCATGTGTGATTGGAAATCTTGATATAATGAATATAAATAACTTGACCTAAGTTTTTTCCAAACAAAAATATTAGAATGTCAACCAATTGACACTTAAGTGGATCCTAACATCAAGCTTCTTTGAAGATAACGGATGCCTCAGATGGATCTGGGTAGTGAGTCAATTCCAACAACCACTAAACACTAGTCATTGGGATGTAGTGATAGTATTCTTACCTAGAAGGACTTGTATAAGAATCACAACTACCCCCAAATAGAGAGATATGATGATGCTGATTAGACAGGATTGCCTTCTCATCATTGATCTAATACTAGGCATTACAAATTTCTTGGAGGAAATCTTATCGCTCAGAAAGCTAAGAAAACAGACATCATAAGATCAAGTACCTGAACCAAATACCATGCCATGACACTACCAGTGTGTCAACTTATATGGACAAGACAATTACTCCAAGATCTTCAATTTGAGGATCTTCACTTCATAACATAGAAGTGTAAAAATTAAGCTCCACCACACAATGTCCCTAATTCTGTGTTTCATGAGAGGACCAAACACCTTGGAGTTGATTGTTATTTCATTAGAGATTTTCTTGTCAAGAACCACTCCCACTAACCACATCAACTCCAATGATTAACTAGCTAATGCTCTTATAAAAAGTATTAATGCTTTATTAGGTACCTATGAAAGTTTTTTACACAAATAGAAGTAAAATTAGAGGTAGAAAAGGAAATGAAAGTAGATTTTAAAACATGTTTGGGGATAGTGCAAGTAAGATATAATTTTTAATTAAAATAGCATTTATATTTTTAATATGAAAATTGAAAAATGTCTTTCATTTGACCTCCACCATTACCAAAAATGCAACGCCGTTTAACAAGAAACATTACATGGATGTAAATGAAAAGAACCAAGAACAAAACCCAAAAGAACATAGCTAGAAACAAGAACAATAACCAAATTGGAGAAATCGAAATCACAAAAAAAATTAGCAAGCTTAAAGAGTGAAAAAATCTTCATAAACAGAAATCAAAATAAATAAATAAAAAAAAAAAAGAAATCCAAATGCTAGAGGGAAATCAAAATGGCAAACCCAGACGATAGAGGAACAAAATTCATTGGATTTTCTTCTTCAAGCTCTTCAATAAAGACTGAGAAGCAGAGGTAGAACATTAAGATTTGCGGTGAACATGGAGCAGGATGAAGCATAAACTATCAGTTATGACATTGAAGAGTGGGATTTTCTTCTCCGAGGTCTTCAATGGAGCTTCACTAATGGCCTCAACACTGCGGGCAGTGCAAACGATAAGAACATTAGCTCAAAGTGAGGTTGAGATTTGTACAAGTGTCGTTGCCATTTTGATCTTGTCCCCATAATCTACCACTATCTGCTGCTATCCTCTATCATCCTCGTATGGTTCTTAGTTGTTTCAGGCAGGGGGCAAAATGGTTAGAAATCAATTTCATAAGAAGTGGAACTCAATTCTCATGGGGCTGAGTAGGAACTAGGTTCCACCCATTTTTATGCAATTGGGCTCCATAGGGAAGTGAGTTCAAGCCTAACAAACATACATATATCTTAATTCAAGTTCCAATTCCACTTCCCTACCTTCAATTTCTTGCTACCAAACAGGGCATAATAGAGCCCTACATTCCTATATTTGCAACAAACTTGACAAATCACCTACATGCTCCAACTTAAAAAGGGAATTCCGAGGATTATGCTTAACTCATCATTTACTGTAAATAAATATAATATAAATTTATTACAGCTGATTAGATAGTAATTAGGCAAATTTAATTTTTCACTACAGGCTGTCAATTCTTGTATATCCACTATAAATAAGATGAACATGCAGATCAGTACTCATTGACGAAATTAATTACTAATAAGTTTTAAATCGCTAAAGAATAATTTACATTATTCCTCTCTACCATAATTATGCGGAGAAAATAATTTAAACCCAACATCTTGGGAACCATGAGCGTTAAAAAGGTTAAAAAAAAAAAAAGAGACTTAAGTAAGTATTACCTGGAACTTCCCATCTTCCAACGTCTTAGCCACTCTTCCGGACCAATAACAGCCATCAGCGCAAAAATCTACCAAATCTCCGACCATCCATGTGTTATCAACAATAACTATTTCTTCGGAGATAGTCCTCATATCAGGTTTTTCTCTTTCAAGATACATAGTTGGATAACAAGGTCGTACCATCAATTTCAAACATTTTTTGGTACGGGGCTTTTGATATACCTTTACCCATTCCAACCCTGCAAACAATATTGTGTTGTCAAAAATTATTATTATTATTAGTTTATCCTAAAAGCTTTAAGCTACAAACAAAAATTACGATTCATTTTCAACAAAATAAGAAATATTTCAAAGATTAATGCTTTAATAACAACAATTCCAAACTTTTAAGCCCTCCAAACTTAGATGGCCATATCCTGTCCAAATAACATGACTAAAAACAAATTCAAAAACCAAGGTATAATACTCTATCATAATTTTAAGCTAAAATAATTAAAAACAAGTACAGTAATGTCAACAAAGACAACATTGTTGGAAGTCCAATCCATCGCTTATCTTATTTGGCCTATCTTGATTACTTATCCCATCCATCTCATTATGGTATGTGACTCTAAAGCAAGCCCCATACGCAATGAACTGCACGCTTATTGTTTCTCATTTCATGTTAATTAGATTTAACCTTGTTTACCCTAGATTCTTCTCTCTTGGCTATACTTTTTTCATGTTGATAAGATTGTAGTGATTGTCAAATACCTCAGGAGGTTTTTAGGGACTGGACCTAGGTCAAACCAGAATAAGTTGGTTGTGCACTTCATCTTCTCTCGAACCCTACACTTCATTAGTGATATTTACCCTATCCATGTCTTACATATTGTTTGGCCATTTAATTTTAAGTTTAATTAAATTCTTATCATCATCCAATTCACATCCTCCCCTCTTGGGTGATTCTTGCATTAATAGTATTCACTATTAGTATAAATGAGTTTCTATGATTCACCTACATACTAGACTCAATCTAAGAAGCAAAACACTCATTACACCACATTATCTATAACTGATGTAAGATATAATCAAGAACAACATTTATAAATTCTTCACTAAATAAATTAATACTTCACATGACTTGAAAACTCAATAATTCTAACTAAGAGCTTAAAACATACCCTGGTCAGGATAATCAACATATTCCATGCGATAGGACAATTCACCATTCTTCTCACGAATCTTTTGAATCTGGGTTGAAGAAAAAAATGCAAGTTGGTTTAGTCACCTACTATAAAGGAAGCTTTAGATTAACATAAAGATAGAGAATGGTTTGAGAGGAAAAGCATGATACAATCTCATGCATCAAAAATAAGATAGTGAATGAAAGCAATCCCACCATGCATTAAGCCAAGAAATGACACAAAGCAGCAAAAGGTATGGTCATCAAAGCTAAAGGTGGAAGATGTTAAGGGGCCTTATTAAAATAAAATTCCATAAGGATTGAACGTTCACCATTAAATAGACCGTGATTATAATTATGTGGACAAATTGAGATGAAAAATATGTTTCTCTTATGTCTTATGACACTAAGATACAAAGGCCAATATGTATACATTATATGACATCATTATATGATAAAATCTAATAAATCCCTATCAAAACTATAGAGGCTAGACAATAATAACTAATATTTATAATCAATGCACAATATTCCCATATTTCTTCTTAAGTTGGATCATAAATGCTAATTACATCCACCTTGCTCATACAACTCTCAAAAGCAAGTTTGAGCTATCTTTTTGTTAATACATCTAGAACTTTAAAACTAGTAGGCAGATAAGTCAAAGATATGATTCCATCTTTCAATTTTTTTTTCCCTCTCTCTAAAGAAATGTGTATCACCCTCCACATGTTTAGACCTTTTATGTTGAGCAAGACTCAAGGCCATACTTTTAGCAATCTTGTCACACTGGAGTTTTGATCACAAATCCACATACTATCTCATTCAAGACTCATTTCAACCGCAACTGTTCCATTATTCCATGCACTGATGCCCTTAACTCGATTCAACATTGCTTGTAGACACACATTTTTGGCTTTTCCAAGTAAGCAAATTTCCCCATATAAAGGCACAAAAACTACAAGTTGATATACATTCAAGATAGGTTCCTCTCCAACTTGCATCTGTGTACACCTCTACAATTCTTCGTTCTTGTTTCCAAAAGAATAAAGCTCTACTAGGAGTACCTATTAAATACCTCGACATTCTAAAGGCTCCTCCCATATGCTTTTTCTTTGTCTCATCTATGTATTAGCTAGCTACACTTACATTAAACACTACATTGAGTAGTGTGAGAGAAGTCAATTAGCTTCCTAGCAAGTCTCTAATATCTTTCTTTATCAACATCCTCCTTTCACATTGTCCTTTTCAATCTCACCAGGCTATTTTCTTCTTCTTATGACTCTTCCTTACTATCCTTCTTGGGCTTCTTTTTCTTCTTGTTTAAGGCCACAATAGGAGTTTCCTCAGGTCTACAATCCAACATGCATGTTTCCTTCAAAAGATCAAATTTGTATTTCTTTCAAAGATACATCGATATCTCATTTTGATCTTGCAACCTCCATTCCAAGAAAGAATTTCAAGTTGCAAATGTTTCATCTGCATGATGCCCTACGAGAATTATGTTGTCAATGTACACAATACAAATGCACTTCTTACTTCGGTAAGCTTAAACATCGCATGATCTGACAATTCCTTTTTGCAACCTTTTTGACCTTGGAACTTCTAGGAATCCATCAAATCATGCACTGGGAGACTACTTCAAACCATATAGAGATTTTTTAAACCTACATACTTGATTACTTATGCTTCTACCAAAGCCTGATGGTAGACTTTTTCTTTTAGTTTTTTGTTTAGGAACGCATTCTTCATACCTAATTGATAAAGTAGCCATACGAGTTTAGTAGCTGCAAACCATACGTCTAGGTGAATCGTCTTGCCACTCAACAAGCTTTTAACTTATCAAGTGTACTCTCAACCTCATATTCAGGGGTATTTCAACAATTTTCCATGTTTCATCCCCCCCGGGGAGCTCTCATTTACTTCATAATTGCTTTTCTCAAATATGGTATTTCCTCTACCTCCTAAATGTTGTTGGGAATATTCAATTCATCTAAATTAGTGACAAAGGCTCAATAACTCTAGGAGAGAGAACTTTATAGGACAAATGCCTTTGAATTGGATACCATATCAAGATTGAGGCTTCTTCCTTAGACTGATAGGCAAATCAAGATCAGATTGTTTACTAACCTATTTAAGGATTTGATGAAAGGGCTTAGGATCAAGTTCTTCAGGAGTTACCACTAGTTTTGACTCCTTTAGAACTTCAAGTACAAGGCATTCTTCTTTTGTTGATTTCTACCCGTGTGTAATCCAATGTATCCTTATCTTTCTATTTCTCTAAGCCTCCCCTTATTTTTGAGCTTTCCTTTATGAGCAACGCTGGAGATGGTAACAATGATGATAGAGGTAATGGTTCTGTTGCCATAGCCTTAGGTTCAAGTAACACCCATTCTATATTATGTTCTAATTCCCAAGTCTGAGATTCTCTAATGCTCTCCCCCTCAATTGAAGAAAGGAAAAAGAATTTTATACCACTGATAGGTACATTTAGAAAAATTCTATGGGGTTGCAAGTGCTACTGATAGGTATGTTTCTTATATGAAAGCCTATCCTCATATAAAAACCTTTGTTACAAATGCTAAAAGTGTGAGGATACCAAAATGCTTCAATGAGGCAATTTTTGATAATAGATGGAAACAAGCTATAGAAGAATAACTAAGAGCTATGCATAAGAACCAAGCCTAAAAAATTATTGACTTAACCAAAGGCAAGTTGATTATGGGAAGTTAATGGGTCTAGGTTGTGCAATATAAGATGAATGGCAATATAAATAAGTTTCAACCTAGGTTAGTGGCTCAAGGATTTACACAGATCAAAGGTATTAATTACTTAAAAAAATTTTGCTTTATTGCTTAACTTCAATAGTATAAAGGTATTATTGTCTATGCTCCTATATTTAGGGTAATCTAGTAACATAGAGACGTACGAAACGACTGGTTTCTCGAATCTTAGTTAAATCTAAATATAGAGCATTGGCTCTTGGTGTACATAAAGGGAAATGGCTTATTAGACTCTTTGAAAGAACTCAAGGTTGGAGTTGCCACTAGTGCTACAATTAGGATTGCTAATAATCCTATTTATCATGATCAAACGAAACATGCAGAAATTGATAAGGACTTCACCTAAAAAAAATGCCAAAGTAATCAATCTACCACATATCTAACCAAAAAGTAAATTGCATATGCAATGGCCAAGTCAGTAAGCCAATAGAAGTTTAAAGATTTCAAGAGCAAACTGGAAATGATCAAACATCTATTCATTAGCTTGGTGTAAGTATTGGAAGTAGGCCTACTGCCACTAATGGGCCCATTAGGGGTTTTAGCCCGTTTCTATTTGATCATATCCTAATGTTCATTTTTTTTATATGTTATTTTCATTAGTAGCATCTTAGTTTTTGTTGGAAGACAAAGCCCAAGCCCAATAAGCTGTGTTTTATTTATTTATTAATTCCATTCTTTGTATTCAGTTTATCAGTCTGATTAGATTTATCAGATAGATTAGGATAGATCTCTTTGATTTAGTCATTTACCCTAGATTTAGGTATCTTAGCAAGTTATATAATGTACTTAATGCTTCAGTAATATACACCAATTAAAACTATTGCTCTCCTCTCTCATGGTATCAGAGCTGGCGACCGAGAGAGAGGGTGAAAGTCACGGCTTTGACCGCAGCTAGGACCAGTCGGAGAAAGAGTGAAAGTCGCGTCCTTATTCGCGACTAGGACCAGGTAATCTGGTCGCAGGAAGACCGACGACAAAAGCATTTGAAGTTGGCGACCGAAGACCGAGGGAGCATGACTGGGTCGAGCGACTGAAGACCCAGTGCCTAATGATCGCGTCTGAAGACCAAGGGAGCATGACTGGGTCGAGCGACTGAAGACCCAATGCCCAATGATCGCGTCTGAAGATCGAGTGAGCACGTTTGGGTTGAGCGACTGAAGACCCAGTGACTGCGTCTGAATTGGCGAACGCCACCAACCGAGAAATCTGATCGCATTTGAGTGAGCAACTGAGACCGAGTTGAACGAAGGCACGATCATATCCGTGCTACCTAGTGAACCCGACGTGAACCCGACTGAGACAGAGTTACACAAAGGCACGGTCATATTCGTGCTACCTGGTGAACCCGACGAGATGGAATCTGGTGAATTTCCACCTCTATTTGGCACAATGAGGCGCCCTTCATCAGCGTTTACAGCAGGTACAGCACCATCATCGTCTTCTTCTGCATTGGGTTCTTCTGCATCGGGCACGGGTTCTTCTCCTTCAATGGTAATAGAATCTGGATTGACCACCGAGACTCCTCAGATGTTGGTCGCTCACAAGTTGAATGGAAGTAATTATTTACAGTGGTCTCAAAGTGTCCTGATGTACTTACGAGGCAGAAGAAAAGAAAAATACATAACTGGGAGGCCCCACAACCAAGTCCTGATGACTCAAAGTATGATACTTGGTTTGCTGAAAATAATCTGGTGATGACCTGGTTATGTAACTCCATGACAGTAGATATTAGTGAAGGCTATCTGCTTGCTAAGACGGCAAAGGAAATATGGGATGCTGCTAAAAGAACATACTCAGCTATGGAGAATACTGCTGCTCTGTTTCAAATCAAAAAGGCACAGAGAGAGATGAAACAAGGAAGCATGACAGTGACATAATATTATACTACTCTCACACACTTGTGGCAGCAGTTGGACATGTTTGATGTCCATGAATGGAAGTGCAGCAGTGATGCCCAACTATATAGGGAACTGGTTGAAAAAGAAAGAACCTATGAGTTCTTACTTGGTCTCATTGACATGTTTGATGATGTAAGGGGAAGAATTATGGGAATGAAGCCACTGCCATCACTGTTCGAAGCTTTCAATATGGTCAGATGTGAAGAAAGCAGAAAACGACTCACCCCGAGTGTATCTGCACCCTCTAAGTGTTCAGCATTAGCAGTACATGGTAACAATGGATCAGATCAGAGAGGAAAGAAGAACTCCAAAGGATGGTGTGACCATTACAACAAAAATGGTCATACTAGGGATATATGCTGGAAATTACACAGCAAACCAGCAAAT